CCGCCCCTCGTCCCGCCCCTTGCTGCCGCTCGGCGCGCCGATCAATCCAATCAGGAGGGGGAGAGGGGGGAAGGGGGAGGCCATTGAGGAGGAGAAGATGAGCATCACGTGTTTTGGCATCCCTGAAACAATCGGCGTTAAGCCCGACGGGGATGGATACCCTGGAGCGCTAATGATGATGAACTGGCCGGTCTGGGCCGGGCGCAGCGCATGCCTCTGGAGCGAGCTCTGGAGCAGGCGGGGCAGAGCGAAAGCGAAGGGGAAGGCCGCCGGTCAGGTTGACGGGGTAGCCACCAAATCATTTTAAACAGGTCATTTGGGGGCGGGTCATTTTTTAAACTGTATTTTCTTTGGTTCGGGACAATTTTAAGAACTTGTGTTTCGTTCTGATTCCTTGCATTTCGACTTACCTGATGATGGGGTCAGGGGATCCGCCGGCACTAGAGCAGGTGAGCTGCAGGGGCTTGCCCTCGGTCGCGACGGGCCTGGAGTTGGGCTGGACGGTCGGGGGCTCGGGCGGCGTCAGCACCGTGAGCGCCACGACCTGCGAGTGTAGGTCGAGGCCGGAGCCGGGCGCCTTGACGCGGCACTCGAACTGGCCGTTGTCGCGCTCGTACGACACGTTGCTGATGAGGAGGTCGTAGCGGCCCTGGTCGGGCCGGAAGTCCAGGCGGTAGTTGGTGTCGAGCGGGGCGTTGCCGATGGCCACGTTGTCGTGCTTGCGCGTGTTGATGCGCAGCCAGAAGTAGGTCGGGTTCTGCTGAGCGACCTGCGGCGCGAAGCGGCACGACAGCGACACGTCCTCGCCCTCCCGGGTGTCCTTCACCTCGGGGGTCGAGCCGCCGCCCGTCCGCACCTCGGCCGCGGTCGACGCCGTGCTCGCGTACACCAGCGCCAAGCCTGCAACAAGCAACGAGGGAAACAAGGGTCAGAAAGGGCGCCGATATACAGGCGAAAGCAACACAAAAGGGCCACGGCCAGGGCGCGCGCGCGCGTGCACACACACGACAAGGCAACACCCTTCCCTCCCTCCCACCCAATCCACGTCGTGCTCGCTGCTCGGTGATTTTTTTCCAGCGTAGCAGCGGCGACAGTCGCCCAGCTCATTAACGAAATGGGCTCCTCTCCCTCCCCCCTGCAGCCCCCGGGAGCGCGTGTAGAACCGCCTCTCTGAGTCGGCCCGTGAAGTTTCTCCACCCCAAGCCTTTACGCCCCGGGCTGGTCACTCTGAGCGTCTGTTGGCCCGTCTGTCTGTGCGTCCGCCTGTCTGCCCCTGTGTCTCTCGGGACAACAAAAAGCAGCGACGGGGCTATCTTTCGTTTTTACCCTCGCCAGCAGCACCCCCCTTCCCCTCTCTCGTCCACCTTTGTACGGCCCCTGCTGCTCCACGGACCTCCAATTTGTTTTTTGGTCAAGCGAGACTCGCGTTGTATTTTGATGATGGGCGTGGCGCGGCGTGGCGGGCTGCGTCCCAGGGAGGCGCGCTGCCGCGGCCGGGCACGCCGTCGTGGGGCCGGGAGCGACCGCGCCGCCTCGGAGGCGGCCCCGGCGTGCCTCCGCCGCGCGGCAAAAAGTGCTCTTACTGTCGATCCGGTCCAGTCGGCCCCGCCACGCCCCGGGCGTACCGGCTCTAGCCCACGGCGTGGCAGCGATCTGGAGACTACGGCGTCCGATCTTCGATCACGCCATGGACGGCCTGCCCCGAGCGCGGAGTTCGGAGAGGGAACCAGAGTATAGGGGATATTCCGCTGAGACGCAACCGGAACCAGAAGAAGAACGGATTTTAGAGCAAATGCGCTTGCTGTGTAGCAGAGGATTTTCCTTCTTTCGAGACAGCATTAATTGAAGTCTATCGGACCTCGATGAGCCAAAACTGGTTGGCTTGTTGGTTGGTTGAACCCCGAGCCACCGGCCAAATCGCAAAGGCTGCTGAAGGAGGAGAAGGAAAGAAGGAGAGAGAGAGAGCGAGAGAGTGACACCAGATTGAAAGAGAAAATGCGATAGGAGGAAAAGGAGGAGGGGGGCAAGCCGATAGTGGTTCAATAAATATCTGTCCGGTAAGGAGAAACGCATTGCGTAGGCCCCGCCGCACGAGAGGAAGAGAGACGGAGAGAGGAGACGAGACGAAAGGGAAGAGGAGAGGAAGGAGAATAGAGAGAGATAGGGAGGGACGAGAGCGTTAAGGACAGAGAGAGAGAAAGAAGGAGACAGGCCGAGGCCTGAGGGGTCATCAACCAGCCTACGGACCGCGCCGGCAGCTAACAGCCTGACCCCCCCCCCCCCCCCCCCCCGCGCTGCAAACGCGGCGCTCACTTTTTTCTGCTGTTTGTATGCAAATTATCTAGGATGACGCCGGACTACTTTGTGTCCACGCAGCGCTGCCGCCGCGATTCGAGAGCCGCGATTCGAGACACAAGAGCCTCGGCGGTGGTGTTGCGATTTGAGTCGCGGGGCCAGAGTCCGGCGGCGCCTCAAACGCCTCGGTGCAACGGCCGCGATCCCCCGGCCGGCCCAGACCAGACGGACGTTTTCGCGCTCTTTTTGCCGCGAACACGCCGCCAACACGCGGCCAAGAAAGACACAACGCGGAATCGAAATTTCATACTCCAGAAAAAAAATAAGGGGAGTCAAAGAAAGCAGCAGCAGCGCGCGCTGTTATTTCCGCCGCATCATTCGAGACCATCGCCGCCGGTCCGGGGCCGTCCAGGGCGTCCCACAATAACGCCCCGCTAACGGCGTCCCGAGCGAGGCCGTGGCCACGCGGGCCACGAGCAGCAGCAGGACGAGCAGCTGATAAGACGCACCAGCGTTCCCAGTTTTGCCAGTGCGCGGTGCGTCGCCGAGAAGCCACCGGCTGCAGAGCCCCGTCGCAGTTAGACTGTCCCGCGGCGCAAGCGTGCGGGCCGGTTGCCTACCCACAGGGGCCGAGGTAGCGCTCCGTCGCCGTTAGGCTGTGCCGCCGCGCACAAGTGCGGGCGGGTCGCCTACCCACCAGGCGCCATGGAAGGGCGCGCCATATGGTTGCAGCGCCACAGCAGCGGTGGGTCAGTTGGTCTCCGCGGGGCGCATGTGACCGCGTTGTGGCCGCGTGGTGCGCCCCGCCCACCGACTAACGACCACCACAACGCCGCGCAGCGAGCGACACGACGGACTGGCGGTCCGACGGGCCGACAGTGGGGATAAGTGACGTTCAGCCCAGCAGCAGCAGCAGAACCGGGAGCAACGGCAGAGCGATCAACATCGGCGCCCTTGATTTGCGCCGGGCGAGGCGTCGGCGTGGATCTGAGCGTCGCGAGGAGGT